CTCAGAAAGAAATCCTATACCCTTTAGTTTTCTATTCCCTATTCCGTCCAGCCCTAAGCCACTATTAATCTACTTTCTGTCTATAGATTTCTTTATTCTGGACATTTCAAATAAATGGAATCTTATAATATGTGGTCTTTTGTAACTGGCTTCTTTGACTCAGTATAATGTTTTCCAGGATGAATCCATGTTGTATCATGTATCAGTAAGCACTTTGCTCCTTTTACGGCCAAATAATATTCCATTGTATGGCTATAGCACATTGTATTTATACATTCATCAGTTGATGGACATTTGGGTTGTTTTCACCTTTTGGTTATTATGAATAATGCTGCTATAAGAAGTTTTTGTTTGTTTGTTTTTGTTTTGTTTTGTTTCGTTTGCAGTACGCGGGCCTCTCACTGTTGTGGCCTTTCCCGTTGTGGAGCACAGGCTCCGGACGCGCAGGCTCAGTGGCCATGGCTCACGGGCCCAGTCGCCCCGCGGCATGTGGGATCTTCCCGGACCGGGGCACGAACTCGTGTCCCCTGCATCGGCAGGCGGACTCTCAACCACTGCGCCACCAGGGAAGCCCACAAGTTTGGTTTTTTTTTGTGGACATATATTTTCCTTTCTCTTGGAAGGAAGATATTCTTCAATTCTTAGAAGAGAATTGTTGGATTATATAGTAACTCTATGTTTAAACTTTTCAGGAACTACCAGACTGTTTTCCAAAGTGGCATTTTACATACCCACCAACAATGTACAAGAGTTCTGATTTCTCCACATCCTCGTCAATACTTGCTAGTATCTGGCTTTTTTATTATAGCCATCCGAGTGGGTATGAAGTGGTATGAAGTTCATTGTGGTTTTGATTTGCATTTCCCTGATGATGTTGAGAAACTTTTCATATGCTTATTGGCCATTTTGTATATCTTCCTTGGGGAAATAATCATTTCATATCCTTTGCCCATTTTTTAATTGGGTTATTTATGTTTTTATTATCAAGTTGTAAAAATTCTTTATATAGTCTAGATACAATCCCCTCATCAGATTAATGATTTGCAAATATTTTCTCCCATCCTGTGGGCTGTCTTTGCACTTTCATGAATGTCCTTTGAAGCACAAAAGTGTTCTATTTTGATGAGGTCCAATTTATCTATTTTTCTCTTTTGTTTTTCATCCTTTTGGTGCCATAAATAAGAAACCTTTGCCAAATCTAAGGTCATGAAGATTTACCCCTATGTTTTCTTATAAGAGTTTTATAGTTTTAGCTCTTATATTTAAGTTTTTGATCAATTTAAAGTTGATTTTTGTATATGGTGTGGGGCATGGTCCAACTTCATTCTTTTACATGTGGTTATCCAGTCGTCTCAGCATTATTTTTTGAAATAACTATTCTTTCACCATTGAATGAACTTGGCACTCTTGTCAAAAATCAGTTGACCATAGACACATGGGTTTATTTCCGGAGTCTCAATTTTATTCCATTGATTTATATGTCTATCTCTATGCCATTTCCACACTATCTTGACTATCATTGCTTTGTAGTAAATTTTGAAATTGGGAAGTGAGAATCCTCCTCCTTTGTTCTTCTTTTTCAAGATTGCTTTGGTTATTCTGGGTCACTTACAATTCCATATGAATTTTACAATCAGCTTGCCATTTTCTAAAGAGAAGCCAGCTGAGATTCTTATAGGGATTGCATCAAATCATAGATCAATTTGGGAAGTATTACCATCTTAACAATATGAAGTCTTCCAATCCATGAGCATGGAATGTGTTCCATTTAGATCATTAATTTCTTTCAACAGTGTCTTATAATTTTCAGAGTATAAGTTTTACACTCCTTCACTTAGCTTTATTCCTAAGTATTTTATTCTTTTCGATGCTACTGTAAATGGAATTGCTTTTGTAATCTTCTTGGATTGTTCATTGTAAGTATACAGATCCACAATTGATTATTGTATATTGATCCTGTATTCTGCAACCTTGCTGAACTTTTTAATTAGTTATAATGGGTGTTTTGTTTTCTTTGTGGATTCCTTGAGATTTTCTACATACAAGATCATGTCATCTGCAAATAGAGATAATTTTACTTTTCCCTTTCCAGTGTGGATGTCTTTTATTTCTTTCTGTGGCCTAATTGCCCTGGATAGAACTCCAATAAAATGTTGGGCTGCAGACATTGTTTTGTTCCTAATTTTAAGGGTATAAAGCACCTATGCTTTCACCATTAAGTATGATGTTAGCTGTGGGTTTTTCATAGAAGTCCTTTGTTAAGTTGAGGAAGTTCTCTTCCATCCCTAGTTTGTTGAGTGTTTCTGTCATGAAAGGTTGTTGGATTTTGTCAAATGCTTTTTTGCATCTATTGAGATGATCATGTTATTTTGTTTTTTATTCAATTATTATGAGGTATTACATTAACTTACTTTCAGATGTTAAACAGACTGCTTATTCCTAGGATAAATCCCACTTCTCATAGTGCATAATTCTTTTTATATGTTGTTGGATTCACTTTGCTAAGGATTTTTGCACGTATGTTCATAAGAGATAATAATCTGTAGTTTTCTTTCCTTGTGATGTCTTTGGTTTTGGTATGAGGGTAATATTAGCCCCATAGAATGAACTGGGAAGTGTTCCAGCCTCTTCTATTTTTGGAAGAGTTGGTGAAGAGAAGAGTTAGTATTAGTTCTTTAAATGTTTGTTAGAATTCAGTGGTGAACCGTCTGGACCTGGGGTTTTCTTTGTGGGCAGTGTTGTTTAAAATTACTAATTCAGGCTTGTCACTTGTTATAGATCTATTCATACTGTTTTTTTTCTTCTTGAGTCAATTTCAGTAGTTTGTGTCTCTCTAGGAATTTGTCCATTTCATCTAATTTATTGGTATATAATTGTTCATAGAATTCCCACATAATCCTTTTTTATTCCTGTAAAGTCAGTAGTAATATCCCCTCTTTCATTTCTGATTCTAGAAATTTGAGTCTTCTTTTTTTCTTAGTCAATCTAACTAAAGTTTTGCCAATTTTGTTGATCTTTTCCAAGAACCAGCTTTTGGTTTCACTGATTTCCTTGATTGTTTTTTCTATTATCTAGTCCAATAATTTCCACTCTGATCTTTATCATTTCCTTCTGGCTTGCTTTAGGTTTAGTTTGCCCTTCTTTTCCCAGCGTCTTAAGGTGGAAGATTTGACCCAACTTAGTGCCTTCAGAAAGTTTCCAGGATAGGACATGGGGAAGGGGAGCTGAGGCAGAGCTTGGAAGACTCCCTGGGTTGCGGACACCAATCTCAGAGTTCAGGGAGCCAAGTCAGGTAGAGCTTATACATTTTGTCCTGTTTTTTGGGTAAGTAAGTAAGAGGGTAAATCCAGTCTCTGTTACTTGGTCGAACGGAAATTGTGCAAAGTCTTAAGTATCAGTAGAAAGCTTTATTTAAATCTCAGAATGGCCTCTCCAAAAAGAAAGAAAGAGAGAATGAGAGGATCAAAGGAGGGGTGGGGCAAGCATTTGTGGTGTTGGGCAACAGAGACAAGGCTGGTGCGGTCATCAGGTGGTCGAAGCCATCAGATACACAAGGTTCCAAGTTACAAAAAGAAAATGTATTGTTCTTCTCTCCTTGTTGAGATATAGTATATACACACATAAGACTATTTTCTTAGATTTAGAAAGTCACTGGTGCAGGTTAATGTTGTATAATTGTTCATTTTCTCTTATTTTATTCTGTAGTTGGGAGGAGTAGAAAGAAAAGGATGGAGGAAAAAAGAAAGAATCTGTTCTTCATTCTTTAGGTTTTTTGTTTTTTAGAAGCCCAGGGGAATTTTATCAACACTGATATCACTCCAGAGTTCATCTCCCAAAAAGTGATACCCACTGATATCCAACTTTTATCCTACCTTCTACATATATATTTGTCAGCATTTGTTCAAGTTAAAAATAAAAGTTTACTTTCAGTAAATAAGCTTAAGTATGAACAGATTTCTCACTGGTAAATAACACCAAGTAAAGTCTTTCCTTATATTATTTGGTTTTGTTTTGGCCCACCTTACCTTTGAAAGCCATCACTTTCTATCACTGGGTAAGCCTATTGTGAATTCCTTTATTGGTATCTAATATAATAAAGCAGAAACTAACACACCATTGTAAGGCAATTATACTCCAATAAAGATGTTAATAAATAAATAAAAATTAAAAAAAATTAAAATGTCAAGTTAAAACAATTTTCGTAAAGAGAGAGATAGACATCTAGCCTCTGGAATCTTGTTACTAAATATGGGGTCTGTGTATCAACGGCATGAGCAACACCTGAAAGCTTTGTGGATATGCAGAATCTCAGGCCCTCCCCGGACCTTCATAGTCACATTTTAACAAGGTTCCCAGGAAATTCCTATGCACGTGAAACTTTTAGATGCATACTGCTCTAAAAAGCACCATTATCAAAGAAAACCCCAGTGACGATCCAGGTTGGCCTAGAGGCCCATGTAATGTTGAAGAGCAACATTTTGGTTTAGAGAGCCATATGGGAAGAAGCTGGGCTTCACCTAAGGTGGGACCAGGCTTAAGTCACCAATTTGGGACTACTGCAGGTAAACGGAACAGGACAGAAAGGGTTGGGCTGGGGTGCAGCCCAGAACTCACAGAGGCTGAGACACAGAGAAAGACCTAGAGAGGCAAAGATGGAATGGTGGCGGTGGAAAAACGAATCAGGGAAACTCTAATTCCAGAAGGATACAAATACTATAATATCATTTATATGGATTTTAAGAACATGTAATACAATTACTATACATATATATATATATATATATATATATATATATATATATATATATAGTGATTGTACGTGTGTGTGTGTGTGTGTGTGTGTAGGCATACATGGGAATGATACATATAAATGTAGCATACATATAAAGACATGTATGGGAATGATAGCACATCTAGGGTAGTGGTTACCTCTTGGAAGGTGTATTAGTTATTGTGTAGTATAATAAATTACCCCCAAAACTTAGCTGCTTAAAACATACTTTCAGGAATCCAGGCGTGGCTTAGCTGGGTCTTCTGCTTCAGGGCCTCTCGCAAGCCCGCAGTGAAGGCACTGGCCAGGGATGTCACCTCATCCGAAGGCTCTACTGGGAAGGGTCTGCTTCCAAGTTCAGTCACATGGTTGTTGGCAGGATTCCATTTTTCACAGACTGTTGGACAAAGGATTCAGTTCCTCATAAGCTGTTGGCTGCAGGCCTCCTTGAGTCTCTGGCATGTGGGTCTCCCTACAGAGCATCTCGCAACACGGCATCAAGCTTCATCAGAGTAAGTAAGAGGGCAAGAGAGAGTGCCAGCAGTATGGAAGTCACAATCTTTTGTAGCTTAATCACAGAAGTCCCATCCCAACAGCCCAACACCTTTGTCATATTCTACGCATTAGAATCAAGTCACTAAGTCCAACCTAGATAGAGATTTCTCCAAAGAAGACATACAGATGGCCAAGAGGCACATGAAAAGATGCTCAACATCATTAACTATTAGAGAAATGCAAATCGAAACTACAATGAGGTAACACCTCACACCAGTCAGAATGGCCATCAAAAGGTCTATAAATAATAAATGCTGGAGAGGGTGTGGAGAAAAGGGAACCCTCCTACACTATGGTGGGAATGTAAACTGGTACAGCCACTATGGAAAACAGTCTGGAGGTTCCTTAAAAAACTAAAAATAGAGTTACCATATGATCCAGCAATCCCACTCCTGAGCATATATCCGGAAAAGAGCAAAACCCTAATTCGAAAAGATACATGCGCGCCTATATTTATAGCAGCACTACTCACAATAGCAAAGACATGGACACCTAAGTGTTCATCGACAGAGGAATGGATGAAGAAGATGTGGTGCATATGTGTGTACACACACACACACACACGCACACAGATGCACACACACATATACAATGGAATATTACTCAGCTGTAAGAAAGAATGAAATATCACCATTTGCAGCAACATGGATGGACCTAGAGATTACCATACTAAGTGAAAGAAGTCAGGCAGAGAAAGACAAATATTATATAATATCACTTATACGTGGAATCTAAAAAATTAATACAAATCAACTTATTTACAAACGGAAATGGACTCAAAGACATAGAAAACAAACCTATGGTTACCAAAGGGGAAAGGGGAGGGGGAGGGATAAATTAGGAGTATGGGATTAGCAGATACACATCATTGTATATAAAATAGATAAACAAGGATTTACTGTATAGCACAGGGAACTATATTAAATATCTTGTAATAACCTATAATGGAAAAGAATCTGAAGCTGTACACCTAAAACTAACACAATACTGTAGATCAACTATAGTTAAATAAATGAAATGTTTTTAAAAAAAGAAGTGCACCAGGGATTATAGTAGCTGTAGTGGTGAAAAATTCATTTTCACAATCCTTGGGAAGTTCCAGGTGAGGTTGGAAACTCTCAGCATTATTAGTGTCCAATAAGGGTGTTAATCGTACACATGCTCAGAATGCAGACTTCCTTCCCAACATCAGTACACTTTATGATTGCTCTACTCATGATCCATATAACAGAATAAATTCCTTCACTTTAGGACCAACTGTTAATAGCCTTTGGGGCAAGACGAAGATGACAGCTGTGTGCTTGTTCTGTACAACTCGGAATGGTATCTTGTCCATAAGCAGGAAATTCAGTTCAACTAAGCAAACCTGGAACAAATGCCAAGTATAGCACTCGGCTCCAGTTACCACTGCCGTATTCTCTCTCCCTTTCTTAAGAAAACACGTCTGTGGCTCCATCACAGGTCTCTTAAGAATTGGCACCTCTTGCTTGCCCCTTGGGCCCAGAAGCACAGAACATGCCATGGTGGAAAGGTTGCAGGCCCATGCTGTTGCTGTTTGCAATTACTTTAATTCCCCAAAATAATCCCTTGACTTTCAACTTCTCAGAAGGGAAACTGAAAAGATGAGGAGAGGGCAGGAACACATATAACCACATTGTCTCACATTATGCTTATTACCTCAAGCCCATTTTCTTCGCAAAGTGAAGCTTTTGCAGAATTCATAAAGGAGGGCCTTAAACAGACTCTGAAAGAGTTTTAAAGTACTTCTTAAAAATTACCCAAAATAGGATTTACCAAATGTTCAAAAGTAATTATGATGAATCACAGTTGTAAAGAAACAGTTTTCTGTCTTTATTACAAAGTTATTTTTAAAGTGTTTCTTCATGAATCATACAAAATAACTGATTGCAACATAAACTGTCATTTTTATAACTATTTCTGAAAGAGGGAAACTCTGGTTTAAAAAAAGGCAACCAATATTTTAATTGAAAAAACTAATTTCTGCACAGTAAAAGAAATGACACAATAATGAGACAATGCATCCCCAAGTGTAAATTATATCATTATTTAAAGTTACTATTCTTAAATTTTGGTGCAATTCTAATCCATAGTAAACCTCTAAACCCTCTTGGTAAAATGGCAAATCCTTCAGGATTATTCCATTCTTTCAGGATCAGAGCAACACTGTATCTTAATTTTTGAAACTGGAACCCATTTTTTTTTTAAACAGAGAGACATATTGATGATAGAGTCTATGAATTCTCTGTCCAGACAGGTTCCTATTCGGAGTGAAGTAAGGAGCACTGAATACTTTCACAGGAACTGACACCGCATACCATTCCTTTGTTTTTTAAAAAAATGGAGGTATTTTAGTAAAAAAGTGTGATCTCTACTCTCAGGTCCTTCTGTTCTCATCACTACCATGAACATCAATAACTGGTCGTACTGACACTTCTACTCTCAGGACACAATGTTCTGAATGGAGTGGAGGGCATTTGGTGCTTACAGAACTGTACTGAGATGCTCTCGATACTAGACCCTTCCCCATGTCAGCTGTTCCTGCCATCATGACAGTTGGCATTTCTGAAAGCACCCAGCAAGTTGTATGATAACATAAATTACATGTCTGTATTTCCCATTAGACTGTGAACTTCCTGAGGGAAGGGATAGGCCTTTTTAAAAAAAGTATTATCTCTAATATTTTCTAATACAGTGCCTCAAATGATCATAAAGATAACAATGATAATAACAACTCTTAGTGAGCACTTACTATGTACCGGGCCCTATATTCTAAGCACTTGATGTGATTAACTCAACTAATCCTCACAATGACTCTACGTGGGAGGTACTATCCCCATTTTACAAACGAGGAAACAACAGGTTGAGTAACTTGTCCAAGACGATACAGCTAACTTAGCTGCAGAGGCAGGACTGGAACCCATGCAGTCCAGCTCCAGAGTAGCCTTTCAAAGATATTGCCCTGGGAAGCTTCTATTGCTCAAAACCTTTTGCAATTCCTTCTTCGGAATTGTTTTCAGAGTCAGTTTATGAATCGCAGAAGAAAAGTAGTCAATACATTGTGATCACAGCTCATTTTTAAATAGACAGTGTTATTGAGTTTGATGAATACCTGATTTGCCCAACATGTTTCCGAATAACATCTGTTTGCCAAAAATCACATTCTCCAGCAAAAGAAGAAAGATTTGCTATCGTTGAAGATGGTCCAAGAATATGATGCAGAGACTTTTTTCAGTTAACAAACATTTACTGAGCAACTGCTTGGCCCCAGGGATACAAAGTCAAACAAGACATCTTCCCTACCTTCAGATAAGGGAGACACACAATCCAGTGTGATAAGTGCATTGACAGATGTAAGCACAGGATGCTCAGGGAGCCCAGAAGAAGAGCATCAAACCCAGACTTGAGGGTGAGGGCCGGCTCCCTGGAGGAGGAGGTGAGGTCTAATTTTAGTCCCAAAAGACAAGTAGTTGTGGCCACACCGATAGAACAAGGGCTCGGACTCTCAAGATGGCTACACTAACTGGGAGATTATGTCTTCGGATAGGTACACCCTCTCAGGTTTATTTTTAGAAGATAACAATCCTATTACTTTTAAGTTCACACCTGGTACTCAAGTTGGTTTTGCTTTTAAATGAAACCTGGAAACGTGTGGATGGCAGTTTGAACGTTGCCTAATTTTAAATGTTTGCGTGTTGTTTGCTTTTGTTAGTGAGCCATTTACAGTTCTTCAAGTTTCCCTGAAGAATTTTGCTGATGGAGTAAACAGAAAACAAACCAATATCTAAGGAAGTCCCTGTTGTCATAGTCTATTTGTATATGGTGGGCACATGATGATGATTTGTTTAACAGAGTAAGGAGTCAATCCTTAATACTGATTCTCCCTAATTGAAGCAAAATAGTTGGTTTCCTTTATTTCCTATGGGCCAAGGTAGGACAGGATACCCCACACATGGAGAGAAGTGGATGCTCTGGCAGAAGCTTATACTTTTCTCAATATATCAACTTGGAAAACAGTAGCTTTGAACACTGAGCAGTGGGACACGTGGTGATCCAAGAAGGGCTTTCTCTCGTTTTGTGGCTTATCTGCCCTTAAAAACCAAACTACCCCAGGATCACACAAAATTGTCCTCAGAGAGGGGAAAGGGGGCTTGGGAGGTGGGTTAAGCACTGTCCACCATGGGTGGGCTCGGTGCTTGGAGATGACGAGAGAGGGAGGAAAGCGCTCTGGATACCCTAGTTGTATGCTGAGGCAAGAGTTTGAAGGCTCTCTTCTCTGTAGTCCTCATCCGCTAGGTGGCCTGACCCTAACTCTGGAATCGTTAAAGAAAGCAAGACAGGACACATAATGAGGAAGCTCAGATGAGGCATGGGATGCTGCCTGTGAAGAACAGGCCTTTCTGGGATGTGAGAGTGAAACAATCATGAGTAGGAGGACACACTGGGCACTCAGGAGACAGGAACTCGTGGTGGGCAAAGGGCACTGAAGACAAACTTGATCTGCTTCACAAGTCTGTCTAGAGCTGGGCCAAGTGAGCTCAAAAAGTAAGGGGCAAGAGACGGTAGGAAGGAAAAGATATCTGCCCACCTATCATTTATTTACTCATTTAGCACATGAGATGTTTAAAGAACTGTGAGAGACAGCTGAAGGAGCTACAGAAAAGAAAGTAATACCGTTCCTGCCCTCAAGCAGTCTGTAATCCCAAGGGAATCCAAGGCTGTGCAGAACTTATGCCTTGTTGCTAAGATATAGAACAGTGAGAGAAATGGGAAAATGTCCTTCTCTAGACCCGCCACACCTTCTCCCCAGCACTACTACTATCC